TAATAACTTCTAAATAAGTAAAGCTATCAAACAGAAATAACTTGCATTAAATAGAGGAAGGACTAACTTAGATTTTGATATATTACAGTTGTATTTTACTTAAAAATTCACGGAGATATTAATGTTCAAAATCGGGAGCATATTTTGGGATGTGTCTAAAATTAGCGAAAATCGGCATATCAAATATTTACTCCAGCGTTTGTTTGCTTAATGACATATCAGGCTAACTTGTATTTCAGCGAATTGTCGTTAGGGTTTGTAAGGGATATGGCGTAGATTTAGACATCTTACATGTAAGTCTTAGCTCATTGTTTCCTGAAATATGAACGTTCGAAATTATGCAAGTATTTAATAGGTCTTTACAAACTTAAAGGTTCATGAAAGACCATGCAAGGCAGGCGCTTAAATTTTTCTTAAATAGCCTAATTTTTTTATGTTTTTCATGGGTTCAAAACAGAGTTGATTATTTCTCGGTTAGAGCAGGATGAATATTATTCTTTAATGAAGGAAATAATATTGCTTTTTGCAAATACACATGCATCACAGTATCAACGCTACTATTTTGTTATACGTTTTGTTCCAAAAATGTTGGATGTCTCTGGGGAGTTGCTTGTTATGTCTTATGGAGTTGTATGGTTTGATTGTGTTTCATTCTCAGTTTATTCTGAACTTGCCAAGATTAAGAAAAGGCAAAAGAGTTTGGGTGTTCTTAACAAGATTTCAGAACGTTGCAGAAGTTAGAAGAGCTTCACAATTCCATTGTGACAGCATGCCCTAATTCTGAACTACGAACGATCCATGACGATCCTTCGCGCTGCAGTGGTCTCATGAAATAAGGAAACGTATATATTCGTGCTAGGAACACATGCGGATTTCGGACGAATAAATCTTGTTTGTATTTTGTAGATAATAATACTTTGTTTCATAATAAACAATTTGTCAAGTGTCATTTATTTACTGGTAATAGTGCATGTTTCAGTCGGGCAAATCTTGATTAATATTATTTTGATACCCCGTTTTTTGCATATTTCATACACATCCAGAAATATGCTCCCGATTTTAAACATTAATATCTCCGCGAATTTATATATATATATATATATATATATATATATATATATATATATATATATATATATATATATATATATATATATATATATATATATATATATATATATATATATATATATATATATATACTATATATATAATATATATATATATATATATATATATATATATATATATATATATATATATATATATATATATATATATATATATATATATATATATATATATGTATATATAAAGTGCCGCATTTGTCCTGTTTCCTTCAGGTTATAGAATTGGTCACAAGGCCTGCAGCTAAACTATATGTGACAGTAGTTTAGTAACTCGCGAGTGGAAGGAATACGAGGTAATTGAGTTAAACAGTGATATGTCGTAAGTGAAACAAACACTTGACAAAAAATACCATGATATATGTATATATATGTATATATATATAAAAAAACATCTATACATTAGATCAATATATATATATATATATATAAAAACATCTATACATTACATTACGAGTAGAATCTCAGGGAAAAAAATTATATACAACATTCGCTCGATTAATAGCTGGCACCAGGCATGGAAAAGAAGAAATTTGTTCATGTCATTACCATCACAAATAATAACATCGTTCCTAACTTGGCCGTGTAGCTCAGAAGGTAGAGCGTCCTTCTAGAAATGCGGTCGCGGGTTCGTTTCTAGAAGGTCGCGGGTTCGATTCCCAGCCGTGGTCAAGTAGAATTAATTTTCTGCTTGCCTGGCTGATACTCGAACACCTATACATTACATCACGAGTAGAATCGCAGGAAGGAAAATATATATATATATATATATATATATATATATATATATATATATATATATATATATATATATATATATATATATATATATATATATATATATGTACGGATTTAGACTTTTTCAGAGAATGGTTTTTGTGGCGATTGGGGGGCAGGGCGATCGCCGCCCTTGCCCCCCCCCCCCTGGCTACCCCACTGTCAAGGACGAAAGCTCAGACTAAATAAATATTTAAAACCAGAGAACGTCTACAAATGTGTTATGAATAATCCTGGTTTTGCTTCAAACACATTTAAAAGAATATATATCCTATACACTACTCTATTTACAAGAATACTCCTGTTTACAACCTAAGAACTATTAATTAAACTTTATTGTATTGTTCGATTCCATAGACAATTGCACTTATTTTTAAAACGTTGTGTCCGACAATAAAAATTATAAGATTTTTCTCCACTTAATCTTGTTTCTCTGTTCCTAATTTCACAATCTTTGTGTGGCAACAATTAATCATGCAGTTTATGACTAGGATCAAGCAATGACTTATTAAAATTAATGCAAATACTTTATTTTCTCTACGACCTTGTAGAGTTTTAATATTGCATTCCACCAAAGCCTCCTCATATGATAACTCAGGAAACATCATTCGAAGCTAGAGCACGTTTTTTAATACGCTCAATATCACGTGTGTATAGTCAAACCGCCGGCTGAATTGTAGCTTGTGCATCGCAATGCAGTGTGTACCAAAAACAGGTAATCTAACTTTAGCGCCCTATTATACGTGAATTACTCGGCGTATGAACAATTGGTTTTCATATTCGGAAAGATCAGGCTTTTAGCTATTTAATGACATGCTTTTCATGCCAAGTGGGGAAAAAATAAGCATTGTACGAGGCCGATTAAAAATGTTAGTCAAATCGCATATTTTTACCTCTGTGCCTGTAATTAAAACAATGCATAACAAAAGAAAAAGCAATTAATCACGAACGTGTCGTAGCTTAGCTAAGATTTATTCCTACTTAATAATAATTATGAATATATGCGTCGTTTATTGAAGTGAAATTCATCAACTTAAGCCCGCCGCACACGAGCGCACTTGTCGCGCGTACTGTTATTCATGACACGTTGGATCGACAAAATTTCGTGTGCGGGCAACATTTACGGCATTTTCGTCATTCGTGACATGTATACCAAATATCAAACATGTTTGATATTTTTCGTCATTCGTGACAAAAAAATTCTCGTGTGTGGCGAGCAAACGACAAGCGCGCCTGAATAGGAAAATTTGCGCATGCGTGCAACTTGCAGAATTAAAAACAACATGGCGGATCAAAATCACGAGCTCGTGTCTTGTTTTTAATTCTGCAAGTTTTCCTATTCAGGCGCGCTTGTCGTTTGCTCGCCGCACACGAGAATTTTTTTGTCACGAATGACGAAAAATATCAAACATGTTTGATATTCGGTTTACATGTCACGAATGACGAAATTGCCGTAAATGTTGCCCGCACACGACGAAATTTTGTCGATCCAACTTGTCACGAATAACAAGTGCGCGCGACAAGTACCAAAGGGGGTACATTTTCAATGGTTTTAGACCCAACTCTCAACGGTGAAAATATGCGATTCTGACTAACATTTTTTATCGGATTCGTATTTGCTAATTTTTTCTCCATTTGGCATGAAGAAGATATCATTCAACAGCTAAAAGCATGATCTTTCCGAATGTGAAAAAATCTCGTTCATACGCAGAGTAATTCAGGTACAATAGCGCGCTGAAGCTCGATTACCTTTTTTTTTATACACCCTGTATATGGTTGAGAGTTGTAATCTTAGACACTAATTTAGAAATAAATTTTAGATTTATATTAAGCTGTAGAAATTATTAGTTAAATTTCTATTACTTTCTGTCCTCATATCTTTCAGAAAAATTAAGCGGTGTTTATTAATATCTTATTTAATTTATTATTTTACTCAACATTAGTTTCATTATGTATCCTACATTTAATTGTATCTGTGCAATGTTGTTTAGGAAAGTATGTTGAACGTCTTCGTGGTGCTGACAAGAACATCGAGACATTCCCATGCCCTACATGTCGCTCAGAGTTTACTCTCAAATCAAGCCAAGATGTTGCTGAACTGCCAAGTAATTATTTCATTAAGAATATGCTGGAAATTATGGCAATTCAACAAAAAGCAAAAGCATCTACTCCATGTTCCCACTGCCAAGATCCTGCCATTAATCACTGCGCATCATGCGAACTGTTTATGTGTAAGAAATGTTCAGAGTTGCATGATAGATGGCCTGCCAACAAAAATCATAATGTGTTATCGGTACAGGAAGTGAGAAATCCTGAGCGTGAAGTGGAAATGAGGAGCAAGCTTCACTGTATGAAACACACAGACAAAGTACTTGAAATATATTGTGAAACATGCAAGGAACTTTGTTGTATGCTTTGCCTGTTGCTGAATCACCAGAAACAAAACCACTCGTGTGTGGCCGTTTGTGAGATCGCACAGAGGCAAAGAGAAACATTGCAATCGAGTTGCACAACACTTGATGAGAAATTAGCTGAAGGAAAGGAATCGTTAAACAACATTTGTGAAGTGATGAAGTCTCTTGAAAAAAATGCTAAAACGGCTAAAGATCAAATCAAAGAACAAAAGGAAAATATCTTGAAGATTGTGGCAGAAAAACTTGATGAGAGAGCAGAGAAAATGAATGAGGAAGTTGACAAGGTTTATGGTGAATTACACAGTGAACTGAGCAAACAACATGATGAAATGAAAGATTATGTTGATAAAGTCCAAGCTTCAGTTTCTTTGCCAAAAAATCTCCTGAAGAGAGGAAGCATTGAAGAAATGCTCTCATCACAAAAATTGATTGATGAGAAAATTGAGAAGTTGAGCAATCAACAACCAGAGAATTTGGCCGCAGTGAATGACGGTAGTATTCTGTATGTACCGGACGACATTGGTAATATCAATGTTGATGAAATTGTAGATAAGTTGGGTCATGTGGAAGGTATGTGCAATTTACGGTATATTACCGTCAATACATTATACAGGTTCAGATTTGACTTCCACTACCACGGACGATCAACTAATCAGATGTGTTAGATATATTCGATAAACCAATGGGATATGTACGGAGACAGTGAAAAGTAGTTGTAGCGGTAGTGGAAGTTAAATCTGAACCTCTATAATATTATCGTCAGTTCATAAATTATTTTCTTTTCAGAATAGGAATATTAAGGGTGTACACAAGAATTCGGTCCGCTATGGAGGAATTTTGATTTTTTATGTCGATTTTCAGGCCGTATTTTATAGAAACACGGTAGTAAAGTGTTCAGCTAATTAAATTTAGTAATTTACCCGTAATTGCCCAACACTTTGCTCGCTAGGAGTAAGATCGTCTGGCTTTACACAGACTATAAGGTGCTGCATGTGTGAACGTACATACATATGATTGGAGCATTAATTAGTGTAAAAACAAGTGAAAATCAAGAAGGGCGCTAGAGGGTGCATTGTGGCATAGTTGATTGACAATACACATTGGCAAATAGTCCTGTTAACTTCCCAGAGCCCAAAACTTTCCTTTTACGAGTAAAATCGGCGTACTGTACATAGGTAAAATAACAAAGTACTGTGTATGTATGCATGGCGCTCATTGTGGTGCATTATGGCTTAATAGGGTAAGAAGAAGACTGGTAATAGTTTACCACTAACATAATGCAGCATTACAGTTAAGGTGGCTCCCTACAGTTTTAATTGTACAGCACACAATTGTATTAAAAAAAACATTATTTTATCATCTTGCAAAGTATGATCACGAAACTTGACCACATAACTGCTACAATATCGCGAATTACGAAAAATAAAAAATGTCGTTAAAAATCCACGTTGCCATGGTAACAAAGCGATTTTAAAAAGGGCCAATTTGCAGATTCTTTGATAATTTTTTGAAAATTTCTTCGGTAAAACACTTTAATTTTTTGCACACAGTAATCTTATCTATAATTCCTTCAAATGATAGCATTTAAAAAAAATCGTACGAGAATTTTTTTTTAATCCTCAATTAGCGCTGTTTTTGGAATAAAAAAAATTCGGCTAGCTCGTACCATTTTCTTAAAACTTGCACATTTTATGCACTTCAAGATTACAGGAAAGTGTGTGAAGTTTTAAAACATTTTATCGAAGTAAACACGAGAAAAATACATTTATTTTTATCTATGTGACGTCACAAAAATCAGGATTTCAATTTCCTCGCGCGACCAACCGACAATCCCACCAAGGCTCGCGCGTGTATACATCACGACGCAAGTTTAAAAAACCTGCCACACGTGCAACGTCGACCACGCGTGTTGCGTGTAGCACTACTAATCTCGCGCGTGGACAAAATTTCCGCGACACAGACCTAAAACTGTAGGGAGCCATCTTAAGTTGGAGTTACGTCTACAAATTAATTGGCCTTGGATGCCAAGCTTCCTATAGTGGGAAAACTCGTCGTTGTCGAACTTTAAAGTGACACTCGCGTCAAAATTTTTATTTTCTTATTTTCTTAAAATGCTCTTTAACTGTATAGTAACTTGTTTTGAAGATTTTTGTTCCCATGCTTAATTCTTGAGATATTTTATCTTGTTTGTAACCATGTGACGTCAATGACTCAATTACATACATAATAATATACATAAAGATATTACTCCACTGTGATTGGTTGATTTCAGTGCAGTTAATCCCAAACAGCAGTGCAATTTTCTGTAATCACAGTGCAATTTTCTGTAATCACAGTACAATTTTTTGTAATCACAGTGCAATTTTCTGTAATCACAGTGCAAAAATATGTAACAAACTGATCTGATTGGTGGAAAAACATTGTGATGATTAAATCAACCAATCAGTTTAAAGCAGTTTAGTTTTAAAGAAGTAACGGTCA